GTCAAGGTACGAGGGCAGAACAGCTGGCCTCTGCATGGTCCAGGACAGCACACTGAGACTCGATCTTGACCCTTGGTTTTTAACAATTAGGAAGCTTCTTTCCTCCTCCCTATTATTTGCAATTTTAAAGGCTGAGCCCTGTCTGTCATGTGACTTTATCTCTCCTCCCACAGAAATAATCTTCTGAAATGTTGGGAGCGGATGGGAAGATGTGATCCTAGCAACAAAATTCTGCTCAGCAATCTTTCTAGAGTCCTTCAATCTGGCCTTTCCTGCCTCTCCATCCCCCACTCTCCCATTGTCCCCTTCATGTTAGCAATTTCCCTTGTATGAGGTCTTTCCCATTTGGGGCAATCTCTGTGTCCTGGGCACACATTCCTCATCTCTCAGGTCTTAGCCCAGATGTCGCTGGCCAGGGAATCCCCTGGGCCTCCCAGTCTAGCTCATTCCTTCAGTACGTGCCTCCCTGGCATCTTTACTTTTCCTTCACGACATGTATCTCAATTTGCAGGCACACAGTTGTGCAGTGACGGGTCTGTCTGAGTTGGGACATAGAAGACAGTCATGAATGTGTCAAATGACTGAACAATGGATTGCAGGGAGGAGATCTGCTCTCCATCAGGAATATGGAGGACACAGCCAGCTTGCTCTACGTTCTCTGCTCCATGCTCTCTCTCAGCTAGGTCCCTGACACTGTGAGTGGCCACTGGAGCCACAAGAATGGCTAGGGTTTGGTCTGACCCTTCCCCACCCCCATGGCAGGAGGAGGGGCTCAGGAGGCGGCCAGAATGTGAATTTACATAGGTGGATTCAAGTAGGGCAGGCATCTCCCATAATTTATGAACAACCTGAGTCAACTTCAAATACCTTAGACAGCTCACTCCCCTTACCCACCCCCTTCCCTCAGCCTCAAGGGGTACTGAGTAAGAGAGGGGCCAGTGGAGGTGGCAGGCAGGGGAGGAGAACAGCACACTCTGTGATCATGAGGTGGGGACATGCTGGGGAGCAGGCCTGAGGTGTGCGATGAGGGCTCCACAGCCAGCACCCACATCTTCTGGGCAGAGCTGCACACATAGGAAACAAGTCCCATAAACAGCAAGCTCTTCAGATGAAGACTCACCCAGGGCCATGCCATGTCCAAATCCTCAAGGGAGTGCTGCACTCATGAACTAGGAGTTCTTCACTAAAAACACAAACACACCTCTACACGTGGGTGCACCGAGCCTCCTACTCTTGCATTAGAGGACACTAAAAAACCTTTATAAATGGAAATGTGGCCTTCCCCGTTCACTCGTAAAGGCTAAGTACCAGTATTTTAATCACTCTGCCACTGAGGTTTCCACCCTCTGTGGGCCAACATTTCTCACGACACAGATAAATCAAGCTTAAAACACCACACTACAAAGTCATTTATGACATAAGCTACCCTCCTCCTTTTCCATTGCTTCTAGTTTGTTTTAAGAAGAGCTAACAGAGTTTAGAAATCAGCCAAAGCGCAAATATATTTTTTAAAAACAAAGCAGTTGCAGCCCCCCAGCCTCCTCTCCCTTCCTCTCTGCCTCCCTCCCTCCCTCCCATCTTCAAAGCTGAGAAGAAACACTGGCATCTCAGGAACAGCAACCCCCGTCTGTTCCTTGTGAGATGCTTTCAGCACAACCGTGAGTGCCACTGGAAAGACACAAACACTTCTACAGACATTAACGGTGCATAAGGATTCATGAGGCTTTGAGGTAAAGAACTCTTCAAGCAGTAAAACTGTTTATATTTTTCACGTATGTTTTCTCCATATTTAAATTCTGGAAAAAGGCTCCCCTCTTTCTGGTGGCCTGCCTCAGTGTTACCAGTTTCCTAATTCTAACCTGGTGGGATTGTTTGCATTTTCTTTATGCATTTCACATTTTTTGTACCCAGTGTGCTTCCCCACCTCCAACACATAAAGACAGATGGTTGTGCATCTTTCTGTAAATACATCCATTTGTCTCTCTGTGAATGGAGAAGATTTTGCCTTTCCAGTAATAAAAAGGGGCAAAACCAAGTCACATAACCTCAAATTGTTTGGAGAGGTAATCCTTGGGAAAACAAACGAACAAAAAACCTCATTATTTTATTTTCAAATAAAGGGGTATTAAGTGAGTTCAAATAAAGCAATATTAAGTGAGTCTAGTCGGGATATTTTGCATGTAGTCATTTTGCAAGAGACACACAGAAAGGAGAGCCTTCTAGAAAGGTATGGGGCACCCTGAGGACACAGAGCCAATGACTAGTGCCCGGAGTTCCATGGGGATAAAGTACACGAATGTACTATTGGCAGATAGCAAAGAGACCTCACCTCCTTGGGGTCCCACAGTTCTGTCCACTGTCTTTTAGTCCCTCCTACCATTTAAAAATTCCTCAGGGTTCACTCCATCTCCAAATAATCACTTTCAAGGTAGTGACCCTGCCAATACTCCACCACCTCTGTAACTCCAAGGCACCACTGTAGGATCCATTTGAAACAGGATGCGTTAGGAATCCGTAATAATGGGTGCATTTTTTCAACTTGGAAATAATTCCCTATGTGCTAAATTCAAAACTGAGCACCACAGAAGCATTTTTCATCTGATGAATTGTCATCAGAAAACAAGCATTCTCAACACAAAGAAAAAAAAAAATCAATAACTAGGTCTTCTTCCTAAGTATGTTGAGAGCCTGTCACAGAAGGAAGGAATACACAAGGCTTAATTTGTCAAGACTGAGTCTCCATAGACTAATGGTCTTTAATTAGTTTTCCCAAAACATAAATCACCTGTCATGACAATCTAAGTAAAATTGAAGCAGTTAATTTTTTCATGGACTTATTTTACCTAAATTCTCTACCCACCCCCTTTTATTTAAAATGAAAAAAGAAAAGACCTTTCCCATAAAGTCAGATCTGAACCCCTCTGTGTGTCTTGGAATATGGGAGAAGGGTCTCAACTGCCAGTTCACTGTCCAACTGCCAGTTCACTGTCCAACTGCCAGTTCACAACACCCAGGGCAATGTTTTCAGCACGTGTACAGGGGAGTGCACTGGAAAACCTAACATTGCCGCTTGAAGTGGGGTGTAACTGAGTAGCTCCTATCAGGCCTGAATTGTTACCCACATTTATTTTGAAGGGAAGGGCCTTGCCTCCTGGCAGGCTCCAAACATGAGTAGTAACAAACCATATTATTATGGAAAGTCTGAGGAAACGGGGTCCTGTGATTACGTGCTGGGGGGAAAAATAATATTGCCTTTAAGAGCTGAAACCAGATCACCAACATGCCCCAAACACGAGGCTGGGAACGGCAGCTCCATAGCTGCTCCCCAGAGTAGGCCTTCCGCTCCCAGTTCATGGGATGGTCTAAGCTTTCGGAAGCTTCTAGGTGTTTCTGCCCAGACTTGGACACATATGTTGGTAGAGCTCTGAGAGGTCAACTGGGGACTACACTGAGCAGAACTAGTTCTTTCTGCACAAAGATGTCAACAGAAGTGACCCTAGGGGGCGAGACCCTGTTCACATAGCTTCAAAACATTTCCTATGTGGGGTCATAGAATCTTCTAGGTGTTAGTCACTGGGGAGCCAGAATGACTTGGCTACTCCCTATTTACTTTGTAAATTAATCACAGGGTTAAATTTGAATTTTTCTAATTCAGATATAGCAAGGTCTGTATGGGAACCAGACTGAAGCTTACTATATCAGTGATTATAAACAAGCTTGGTGCATAGATTTATTGTGTAAGCAATAGGGGGGAATGCTAAAACGATCTAAATGTTTTCTGTTTAAGTTCCTCAGATTTGCCCAACTGATTACAAAAGCATTTATCAGTTGATGGCCCTTCAATCTGAATCACCTGAAGTCACCAGCTTGGCACTACTTTGTTACTTGATGTACTTGAAAGTAATAAAATACACATTTGTGAATTTTCTTTTACTCCTTTAAATTAGTCCAAAACAATAAAGCTTCAATTTTGTCATCCTGTCATCTGTCTTATCTTCACTCCAGAAAGGAATCCCATTATTTGTTTCCATGATTCCATTTGCTTTTCAACTCTCCCTCATGTTTTATTCAGATTCAGCTGCCTTTAAGTCAGATTGGAAGTATGTCTTCACTTCTACACACTGGAGACTGTAACTGGTCCAACTGCAATCTTTTGCTTCTCTGCTGTAACCACAGGCTAGAATGGAACCCGGAGACCACCCAGTAAGACAGCTTCATTTTCAGATGTGAAGACTAATGCCCAGAAAGGCAAAATGACTCACATGTTACAGTCATCTTTAGCTAGAGCTAGTAGTTCTAGAACTCCAAACTCAACCGTGATTCCTTAAGGTGAGGATTAGACTGGAAGATTCTTCTGATTCCCGTACTTCTTACAAACACATGTCTATTTATTCTTCCCAAGGATCCTGTGTGATTTTAACAGAATGCTTGCCATGAGCCCAGCCTCCAATACTGCCCCAAAGGGCAAGAGATAGATTATCGAGGCAGCTGAAGAAAACCATTTCGTTTACTCAGCAAATGAAAGACAATCTTTAGTGCTTAGACTTCTTTTAAATAAATGACCTCTGGTTAATTATCTCCTTAGCTTTATCCTTGAATCTCCAGTTTGAAATTCCCTCATGGTAATTGCACCTAAACCTAGGCCTGTGATCAAGACTGCAGACAAAAGCAAGTCTTTCTGCAGCAATTAAAGAAAACCTCAGTTTTTTCACACTAAACTTATGATATTTAATTAGTGCAATAATTTTCCTCTTTAGAGATAATTGCATCTTGAAACACGGTTTTCAGGTTCAAGAACTCTGTTGTGCAGGTATAGTCTAAAAGACTGAATGCAAACATATTCTGTTTACCATTCACTTGTGACTTCAATGATTACTATATGGATATCTGCAACACAAATGCTAAGTTATACATTACGTATTTTTCCAAAAACATTAGAATTTTTAAACAGACTAGCAGAAATGGTCATGTCACAACTCAAAATAAACTGAGCTACTGGGTAGCTTCCATAGCTTCATTTAATATTGATAGCAGCTCAATCTATATTTTGAAAAAGCAAACACTTTTAATAAATTTGGTGTGAATGATTATATGTTTTGATACAACTATCATACAGGTGTGTGCACATATATAAATCTATAGGCAGAATTATATACATTTCAGCATATACCACATATATATTTTTTCTACTCACATATTTCTCTTTAGTAAAACAAAGCAGTTTTACTGTACATAGATGTGCAATGCTACATTCAGTCCTGAGTAATTTAAGGAAGCTTTAATAAACTGCTGTAAATTCTAGTGTTTCAGCCAAAGGTCCAGTAAATTCTATAACATAAAAAGGTGAACCAAATGATATTTATAAATATGCATTTAGCCTTGCGCTCACTTTGTGCTTAGCAGAGAAAGCTCGAGAATGCACAGTAGCATTTAGATTTGGGAAAGTGTTTCTGAATATTCAAAGTGAAACAATTATCGTATCTGTAGGGATGTACAGACGTTCTAAGTGACGTCGTCTACATCCAATGTGTCAAGCATGGAAGACTCTAGTCATGATTGGATAAAAAATCCCTTTTGCAGAATGTGAAATTCTGTGTAAACAACAGTGTTTGGGTATTATATAAAAGCTCTGATTCCAATGAGGAACAAAGGAACAAATACAATGAGACAATTTAAAAAGCTTTTCTTGGGATACAGCCAGTCACATGGGAGGAATATTATAAAATTAGGGTGTATTTTGGAGAAAGAGGAAACCGGATGAAAGTCACTGAAGGGTGGTCTGGTGCCACCCACTTTGGGAAGTCCCAGGTTGGCATGGCTTGGGGAGCCCAAGATAATCAGGCCATGTCCATCTTGCCACAGGGGATGAACCTCGCTGCGCAGTGAGAAGGAAGCACTATGGGAAAAGGCCACATTCAACTGCAACGAACAGAAACAGCTGCCTGTCAGGGTCACCATCGGCAGGCAGAGCATCCCAGGCCCCAACTCAGGCACTAGGAAAGAAGATGAGGTGTTGGGGCTGCTGCACGTGGGCCTTCAGCAAGAGGAGGCAGGCCTGGAGCCCTGTAAGAAGACCCCCTGCGTCGGAGCCCACTTCAACTAGAAGGCACTGCTTTGGTGGTTCCTCCATCACCCCTGGCGCTACCCTGTTCCGTGGCTGCTGTAGTCGAAGACTCCTTTCTTGAAGAACGGTGAGAACTCACAGATGGTGTGTTTCGAGAGAGTCATTCCCACCTTGTCAATGTGGAGAGGGGATGTTGCCGATTGAAGCATCACGCTGAAAAAGTCCCTGAGATATTTCTGAGGAAAAGACAAGAATTAAGAACATGGTCAAGTCGTGGTTGGGTGGAGTTGAAAAGAGAAGAAGAAATGTCCAAAAAGAACTTCCCATCCATCCAAGCAGTATTCTTGTCATTAAAATCAGCACAATGGCAATATCCCCGACTGTCTTAGCAACCTTCAGACCAACCAGAGAAGACAATGCCATGACACACATACACAGCAGAAATTCTTTGGCTCAGGGCTCAGACTCAGAGCAACAGTGCCCCTGGTTCCCCTAAAGATAATGACTGGAGAAATGCCAAGGTGTCGGGCACAGAGGATTTGACTCCCAGCAAGTGTCACTAGTTAATCTCCTATTTAAAAAAGCCACCTCTCCAACTCCCCATTTAAAACGCCACCCCCCAAGTTACTCATGAAGTAGAAAGAAGATTAAAAAAAGGAAAAAGCTGTCATCTGTACAAGTGAAATGTGTTGCTTATTGGCATTTCAAAATCGCACATTATCTGCTTTGAATCCTTCTGATAAAATAAAAGGAAAGAGATACTGGGGACAACAGGGTCGGATCCAAGGACTGATGTTTGCAAATCCTGTAACCTTCAACAAGAAAGAACCTTACTATGATGAACCGCTTGGGGTCTCTTGCTGCATGTGTCTATCACAATATTATCTGCCTTTCTGGGCACTGAGGAAGCAAAGTCCATGTGAGACTAGGCTCTGGAGATAGAATGAGACATGGGTGCTGGAGGGTTGTGTTAAGAGGACACACGAATAGTTAATACCTTTCAGGTTGGGCAGATCTCATCTATAGTACCGATAGGGGTGGGGGGAAGGGGTTAGACCCAAATCTTTATGCCTGTCTCAGTGTGTTTTAAAAAATACAAACAATCCCGATACAATCACAGGAATTAAACATAGTGATTCCAGACTTTGAGTAATAAAAAAAAAGTCTAAGAAATGTGACATAAGCCTGGAACATTGGTTCCCAGCAAGGGGCAGCTTTGCCCCATGGAGCCACCAGCAATATCTGGGGATGGTTTCGACTGTCACATGGGGGCATGGAAATTCCACCTAGTGGGCAGAGGTCAGGGATGCTGCTAACATCCTACGGTGCCCAGGACAGGCCCTCTGACCCCACATGTCCACAAAGCCACATGTCAAGAAACCTTGCCCTGGAGGAAGCAGGAAACTGCCAACCTGAAATTCACTTCTGAAGGAACACTTGTAAGCTACTTTCTTCAAAATAATACAAGGATTATTAATAACATCTGTAAAATAACTTAGTTTCCCAAAATCTTCTAACATCAAATCCTTTACACTTTATGGAAGTAAAACTGATTCATGACAAACTACACATTCTTTAAATGTCTAATCTGATGAGTGCTTATACAGATGAAACCATCACCAAATCAAGGTAACAAACATTTGCATCCCCCACAAAAGTGTCCCAAGTCCCCCAGTTTTATGTTATCCTCATACTCAGAATAGCATATTCTTCTTATAACACTCATTTCCCAGTAAGGAAGCTGGTGCTGGGAGAGGTAAGCAGGGCCAGTAATCCAGAGAGAAGACTGGAAAGTATTCTTAACTTGAATGATTTTTTCTTGCTCACTATCTTAACTTACTGGTCTCATGGTAACCTCTCAAAAACAGATTCTGAAACTAAAGTCAGGTCTAGGAAAGATGGTGCCAAAACCAACTCCTGAACAATGAAGACCTTAACCCTAGTGCTTACTTGCAAAAGAGAGGCAAAAGGAAACTTAACTTTTCTGGGGAAAAAGACCCTAAAAATATCAACTTTACAGGGACTTTAATTCCATCAAACATGGTTACCAGTAAATAGTGCACATTACACTCGACCAGCTGGGGCTGGCAATGAAATACACATGCACAACTGACTGTTTTTGGAAGGTCAATAGTGAAATGATTCAGAACAAGAAGACACGGCCTCTGCCCACTTGCGTGTGGAGGGACATCTTCCCTGGTTCAATGCCTGGATGGAGCAGGACTCACTCACAGACACCATCTCGTTTCTCCTGTGTGGCTCCTGCCCCAGGTGTCCCACAGGCCTCATTAACGGGCAGACTAATGTGCACAACGAACTTGCCTTCAAGATGAACTCTGACAGACCAGAAGGTGACTTAAACCTGGGAGCTGATGCTATATCAACATCTGTCATAATTAGTTGACAAAATAGGTTCCCTTTAAAGGGTCAATAACGCCTGAAGGGTATGATGAGAAGAGAGGTAAAAGTTAAAAATATAAATAAAACAAAAAGAGTAAGGATTTGAGACACTTTCCCTGCCAGAGCACCACCATAAAAAGAGAACAATAAAGCAACTGCAGGTAATGCCTTCCCTCTTTAAATAAATTCATTAGTATGGTTTGATGAAAACTCCAGATAGAAAGATCTGATTTGACTAATTCTGAACATTACAGAAGAATTTTCTCTTTGCAAAACAAATCTCTGCTTAAGGAGAATTAGGCAGCTCTGCCTTCTATTACACAGACTGCTTCCTTGGTGCAAAGACTGATTTGATTACGAAGTGTTCTTTGCAGTGAACTTGAAGTGCCCTGAAGGCTGTATGATGAGGTATGACCTTGAGTGGCCATGTCCAGAGCCCCATGCTTAAAGTGGGCTGAGCAAATGCCAGTGAATGAGAAAACCAAGGGGCTGGGGGCTAGGGCTGGGGAGAGAAGATGACAGAACTAAGATTCCAGAAGGTTGAGGTCACAGACTGTCTCATTCTTCTCTGAGGCTCTGTGTCATCTCTGGAACACTGCCAAGTCTAGGAACAGTGCAGGGAAGAAGGCGTGATGATTGATTTTGATGAGTTTGTTTTTTTAAACTGAAGTATATGCACAGAAAACAGCACATATTGTAAATGCGCAGCTGAATACATTTCCACAAAGTGGATATACCTGTGCAATCAGCATCTGGATATAAATAATACAACACTCCCAGCCCCAGGCAGCCCTTCTGGTACTGTACACCTCCTCCAGGCACAATCCTTCCCTCAAGGTCAACTGCTATTTTGACTTTTGGCACTACGGGTAAGGTTTGCTAGGTTTTGAACTTCATGTTAGTGGACTCATTCAGGATCTGCTCTGTGGCTGACTTCCACTGCTGAGCCCTGAGCTCATGAGAGTCATCCACACTGTGCTTGCAGTTGTGGCTGGCTTGGTACCATGGCCATGTGTGATCAGATCCAGTGATGGGCTTTAACAGAGGGACATGTAATGGTCACCGCTTTGGTCTTTTGTTCTGAGCTCTTCACTAACCAAATCTACTTCCCAATATTACTGGTATCTGATAAGTTAATCACTTATCAAAAAAAGGTGTTTCCTTTAGGATTTTAGGCTCAATCTAAGAGCCTATGTACTAGAACTCTGCTGTTATCTATATTGAAAATATACGATGACTGTATACATTTGCTTAACAATACACATGTTCATATTAGTAATTTTTGTTGCCTGTGCACACAGGTTTTCCATAGCATCTGTGGCTGAAAGGAGAAAACTAAGTCCCCCTGACAAACCTATTACTTTTTGTTGATCTAAAGACATCCCTGCCCTCCCGGGATGTGAAACTCAGGTCCAGGAGCCAAGCTGCATCCCCAGGGCAGCATACTTTCTAAATGAGTATCGCAACAATGAAGGGTATTAGGAGTTTAAGTGACTTATCGGGGTCAGAAAGGCAAAGCAGCAAAAGAATCCCTGAAATCCAATATCCAATTTCTGTTTCTGACTTTCACATGACATTCTGCCCATTATAAAAATAAATAATAGCAGGCATATTTAAATATCTGTAGTGCGTTAGGGACCACAGAAGGCCTACAACTATTGCTCACCCTGGGGGGATGCTGTGACACCTGAGTCTTGCCTTTGTCAAAAGCCCTGCATCACAGGCACTGAAAACAGCAATCACCCCCTCTGAGGTTATACGACATCATGGATACTTGGAGGAGGAAAGTCAGATTATAACCCTCTTTCCATAAGATTGAAAACTTGAAAATGGATGGAGGGATGACATCCAGAGAGTGAGAGATCATGGGAAAGAGAAGAGGCCACAAGAGAAAGGAGACCACAGAGAGTCAGAGGACAAGAGAAATAGGGCTGGAATGAAGGGAAGAGCACACAAGGCAAAAAAAAAAAAAAAAAAAAAAGGGAAACAAGCACAACTATGCTGGAGACAAATGTCCACGATTTATTTGTTTACCAAGTTGGCAAAAGGATTTAAGAAATCTATCAGACATCTATCTAGGTTATTTACTTTTTGCGACTTGGACCAACACTGAAGTAGAAATGAGGTGTTCTCTTATCAATACTTTCAGAAAATCAAATTTAGATGGCTAATCTTGAAAGCATATTTCAGTGCTGACACCAACTACTGTACCTTGATTTCATAAACTGCCTTTCTTCTGCGGGTTTTGGGCATATTTTGTTGTTTGGTAAAGTCAACCTACACAGAGGCAGTAAGCAGAAGTAGAGGTAACTGTGGGGAATGGGGAACAGTCCCCAGGGGTTTATTCCAAAGGAAATGTGACTCTGGCATGAGATTTAAAAATCCCCCCAAACAAACAGAGACGAAATCCTGCAGGGGACTACCAACTTTCAAAGTGGAAGCCAAAATAAATGAGTAAAAGGATGAAGGATGTGGTCATGTCAAAGATGCTGCCTCCATTAGGGCCCTTGACCGCCTACATTAGGATCTTTGGCTGCCCTTCACAGTGCTGGCTGCTCCCATGTCTCAGTGACCCCCCATGCCAAGCACTGCTGTCTCACACTGGGCAAGGCCATCTACATCAGGCATCGTAGCTGCTTGAGACCAGGGGGTACTAGGTTCTCCAGAGTTGACGTTCCTTGCATACACACACTGGGAAAGACCTCTTTCCCTGCAAGGTCAATACCCTTCTATATGGAGACTGAGGCAGCTCTGAGAATGCTCTGACATCTCACTTAGTGCTGTGGTGGGCACTGGCCATTTTCTGACAGCCCCGCACCCATGTGCCTTCCCAGAT